GCTTCCTGTTCCTCCAAGACGTCCACCAAAACTTATTATATGTCGCACCCCCCCCTCCCCAAACACCCCTTAAGGTGCTGTCACACTAGCACTTTTTCCGTCAATGTCTTCACAATTTTCTGAAAATTTTGTCCATTTTTTGAGCGAATTGTCGATTTTCCAGTCAGACGATAATGATCGTTTCCGTCTGAAAACCTTACCGTCAACTTTTTCAGCCAAGCATAGTCAAATCAAGAGTTATATTCGAGAATGTTTGTATTTATATGTTAAATAAACAATAAAAAAATTTGAAGGAAAAAGTGCTAGTGTGACAGCACCTTTACTCACCCGCCTTCACACTCCATCGTCGGAAGTTATAATGGTCCAAGTAGTCTAAGCGGATGTTACGATAGTCCAGGTAGTCTAAGTTCCGAAGTTATAATTGTCCAAGTAGTCTAAGTTTGGAAGTTATAATAGTCCAGGTAGTCTAAATTTGCCAAGTTTTGAAGTTCCCTTTTAAAACACACCCACATCCCTCTTACATGCTAACTTACTACATGAAACTCCTTTTAAAAATAAGTCCCTCTCGTGCTTACTTACGATGTTCCTTCTCTTACAGACCTTTTAGTACAAGCTCGTACTCGGCATAACGGAGTCCACATGTGTGCGTGTGTGTGTGCGTTTTTTTTGGGTTAACATTCTAGCTTCTCTTTACAGGGTAGAGTGTCATATGACAGCGCAAGTTCCCGCCGGTGAGAAAAGTTTAAAGTCCTCTACTCGACTTTAGATCCAAGATCAACTTTTGAAACTTTAAAAGAAAGACAACTTTTGAAACTTTGAAAGAAAGTGTTTTTTTTTAGAGTTTAAATAGCAACAGAGGTCAACATGGATGATCCATATCATTTAGAAACCATGTATAGGTGGTTTCAGTACAGTGTGGTGAGTATGTGGTTTCTTCCTTTTTTCTTTGCTTATCTATTTTGTTTTCCTTTATTTTGGTTTTTGGTTTTTCACTTCCTTGGAATTTTGCTTCCTCTCTCTCTCTCTCTCTCTCTTTGTCTCTCTCTTTCTCTCTCTCCCTTTGTCTCTCTCTCTCTCTCTCTTTGTCTCTCTCTTCTCTCTCTTTGTCTCTCTCTTTGTCTCTCTCTCTCTCTCTCTCTCTCTCTCTCTCTCTCTCTCTCTCTCTCTCTCTCTCTCTCTCTCTCTCTCTCTCTCTCTCTCTCTCTCTCTCTCTCTCTCTACTCTCTCTCTCTCTCTTCTCTCTCTCCTCTCTCTCTCTCTCTCTCTCTCTCTCTCTTCTCTCTCTCTCTTCAGCTCTCTCAATCTCTCTCTTCTCGCTCTTTATCTGTCTCTCTCTCTCTCTCTCTCTTCTCTCTTCTCTCTCTCTCTCTTCTCTCTCTCTCTCTCTCTCTTCTCTCTCTCTCTCTCTCTCTCTCTCTCTCTCTCTCTCTGTCTCTCTCCCACTCACCCCCCCTTCTTATTTATACATTCTTATCTTATCAATGTTTTTCCTTTTTTGAAGAACCATTTATAGCGGTCAGTTTCATGTTTTTGCTTCACCTTCATTTGACGATAGTTAGTAAATATAATTTTTACAGAATGTTCTTGAAATGTGTATAAATTCCCATATTGACGATGTGACGGGAATTGTTTCTATCGGATAATTTTTGTTCTTTATAATCTCACATGTGTTGGGTGTGGTTGCCTGTGTAATGTAATATAAAAATATGTATATATATGTATATGTATATTTTATAATTAACACACACAATATATATATAGTATATATATATATATACATATACATACATACATATATATATATATATATATATATATATATAATATATATATATAATATATATATATATATATATATGCATAAGTGATATCATAATAGTGAGTGTATTATATTATAATAGAGTGAGGTGTGTGTGTGTGTGTGTGTGTGGGTGTTGTTGTGGTGTGTGGTGTGTGGGTGGTGTGGTGTATGTGTATGTGTATGTGTATGTATGTGTTGTGTTGTGTATGTGTATGTGTGTGGTGTGTTTGTGTTTGTGTTTATGTTTGTGTGTGTGTGTGGTGTGTTGTGTGTGTGTGTGGTGAGTTTGTGTGTGTGTGTGGGTGTGTGTGTGTGCTGTGTGTGTGCGTGTGTGTGTGCGGTGTGTGTGTGTGTGTGTGTGTGTACACACATATATACTAACATAAATTAGGAGAATATAAGAAAACGGAAAGAAAACGAGAATGCTAGTTAACGGACACGGAAGAAAACGGAGAGAAAGGAATAGAAAACTGACACGAAAGAAAATAGAAAAATCAGAAAACGGAAGACAAGTAAACAAAAGAACATCGACATAATCAGCCGGTTTGTTAAAATTGTGCCAGGCCCGACCCAATGAATTTTCATAAACACAGATGCAGAAAACAAAGGTATATATGTCTATACATCTGATAGATATAACATTTAACCATCTATTTGCGGGTGATATGCATGCCTAGACTGATAAATGTGCATTTATTTCTTTATTTATGCATGTCAAGTATACGAATATTCTTTGGGTCGGGCCTCGCAACAATTCTAACAAACCGGCCGTATATTTCGTTTAGCTAAATCTTTTTCTTTCCTTTTTATCCTCTCGTACCACAGACAAAGGCTCCTCCGCACATCATAAGTCCGGCTGAAAAGAGAAAATGGAATATCGAGTATATAGAACCCTACGGCAGGTGAGTCTCGAAGGAGAAAAGAGACCTTGTTGTAAAGCCACACCCCCTTCATTCTCTCTCTCTCTCTCTCTCTCTCTCGCTTTCTTCCTCTCTCTCTCTCTCTTTCTCTCTCTCTCTCTCTCTCTCTCTTTCTCTCTCTCGCTTTCTTCCTCTCTGCCATCTCTCTCTCTCTCCTGTTCTCTCTGTCTGTCTGTCTGTCGTCTGTCTCTCTCTCTCGCTCCCCCCCCCTCTCTCTCTCTCTCTCTCTCTTAGAAAATGTGTTTAAGGTGCATTTTCTGTTGTCTAATTAGGGTACAGTGCATGGCCTTATTTTTATCTATCGAAGAAATTAAGCATTATTTTTAAATCGACTCCCCCACCCCCCAAGAAAAAAATGAAAAGAAAAATGTGTAGCGTTTTTTGTCTGTCATCTAATTTTCTCTCACATTTATTTACTTAATCGCCATCATCTGTCTTCATCAGCATCACCATAATGAGCATTATCCTCCCTGTATATCAACCTTGTGTAAATAACAATTCCAACCATTAGATTTTGATACAAGTAAACTTAATAGCATTTTTAAAAACAAAAAAAAATCAAAATCTACATCGGCTTAGTTAAGTGCCTTCTTCAGATCACGTGACACCTTCTCATTTCTCTTTCTCTAACGAATTACTTCAGATCTTCCCCAGAATAAGTAAACCCTTGTTTCCACTCCTCCATCGCCTTCTTCGGATCAAATGACATTTCTCCTCATGTTGACCTCACTCCAGACCCCTGACCTAACTCTCGTCTCATCCCCCCCCCCCACGTTCCTCATTCCCCACGCATCTTCGGCCTTCTGCAGAACCTTCCCCTCATGCCTTCTTCGCCTTCTGCAGATGCACGATCGCCACCAGGGACATTGCCGAGGGAGAGGTGCTCTTCGTGGACCACCCAGTCATCACGGGGCCCAAGCAGAACTCGGAGCTCATGTGCCTCGGCTGTTACAGGCAACTTGACAGCTGGGATAAATACCAGTGCACCATGTAAGTTGCAAGAAATGAGAGAGTTTGCCCCTGGTGTTTCCGTTTTTCTGTGGTTCAATTCGTGTCGTTTCTTTTTTCTTTGAAGTTTTCCTTCTATATGCGTTTTCTGTTGTTACTATTTTTGTGTTTGGTAGTCAGTTCATCACGTTTCCTTTCTTATCCGTTTTTCGTTTCCTATTTCTTTCTATACGTTTTCTAGTCTTATTTGCTTTCTTTTTCGTTCTCTTTCTAATTCGTTTTCTATTCCTCCTGATTTCTTTGTTATCCGTTTTTTTACGTTTCTCTTCCTGTCCGTTTTTTCTTCCGTTTTCCTTCCTATTCGTTTTCTATTCTTTCCCATCCCCATCCTACCCGTTTTCTACTTAGTATCGTAGACTAGTGATTCTTGACATTTTATTTTAATTGTCGGAATCCCCTAAACCATTTTCCATCATGCGATGAATAACGAATATCAGTTAATCTACAAAATATATATTATTCTAAGATTATATATGTATATATATACATATTATTATATATACAACATATTCTATATATATAACATATATTATATACTATATTATATATATAATATATATAATATATATATATATACTTTTATTTTCACGATCCCTCACGGAACCCCTGAGAAGGTTCACGAAACACCGGATATGAATCACTGGCCTAGCCTCTTCGTTGAAAATTGATATTACACTGCTTCTCAATTATTCATAGATTATAAAAGTAATTTGGAATTTTTCGAGCAGAGGTTTTCATAGATTAATAAAAGTATAGTTGGATTTTTTGAGTAGAGGTTCCACTTTTTGTTTACAACTCGCGAATCCCTTTCCCAGGATTCCATACACACCCGCGAACGCCAAACATTAACTATTCAGTTTTATGATTTTTTCTAATGTTATGTAATTTTGGAGGTTTAGAAATGAATAAGAATAAAAAATGAAAGAATAAAAGATTAAAATCACATAATGATTTTTAATAATTCTTTATCCAAACATTTTAAATGCGGATAACCCATGAAACGAAGATAATTTTCAAGTTCCTAAATATTTCAGAAGCAATGACAAAAAGAAAATTATTATATATATTATATATATATATATATTATATTATATACATATAAAAAATTTTCCTTCTATACTTCGGTTGCAGATTCCAAGAAAAATCATAGAATAATTTTTTCCACTTTTGAAAGTACGGAGTGCCAATTAGTATTAGGTAAAGGTAACAACATTCATCAGAATAACTATTGAAAACACAAACCACAAAAACATCCACTTTTTAAAATGAACTACTTAAAAAATCATCGCCATCAACACAACAACATAACACCCCATTAGATAAAAAAAGAAAACAGTAACACCCCCATGATATATATATATATATATATTATATATATATATATAAGATATATATATATACATAAATATAATATAGTATATATATATATATATATATATATATATATATATATATATATATATATATACCTTAAACACTCATAGATTGAAAAAAAAAGAACAATTTAAAACATCAGACCCAAAACCATTAAAAAGCATACCCACTCACCCCTTTTCCAAAACCCACTGACTTAATCGCAACAGCATTAATAAAAACAAAAACTAAATAAAAACCTACATAGACTTAATTAATTGCCTTCTTCAGATCACGTGACACCATCTCATTTCTCTCTCTTAACGATAACTTCCAGGTCATCCCCAGAACAAGCAAACCCTTCTCTAAGTCCTTCTTTTTCACTCCTTCATCGCGCTTCCTCTCCTTCGCATCCCCAGAAGAAGCATTTTCTATCTATATTTCTATCTATATGCACTTCATTTGGTCTCTAATTTCCCTACTTTCGTTCCTTCATCGCTCTCTCCCTGCATCCCCCAGAACTAAGCAGTTTTCCATCTATATTTCTATCTACTATCCACTTCATCTGTCTGTAAATCCTTCGTTTTCACTCTTTCTTTTCACTCCTTCCATCGCTTTCCTCTCCTTCGGCATCCCCAGAACAAGAATTTCCATCTATATTTCATATCTATATCCTCTTCACGCTGTCTCTAAATTCTTGCTTTTTTCACTCCTTCGTCGCCTTTCCTCTCCTTCGCATCCCCAGAACAAGGCATTTCCATCATATATTTCATATCTATTCCATTCACTGTCGTCTAAATTCCTTTCTTTCACTCCTTCGTCCCGTCCCTCTCCCTCGGCATCCCGCAGAGACAAGCCTTTCTACCTAAAATTTCGTATCTATATCCACTATCAGTTCTGTCTCTAAATCCTTCTTTTTCACTCTTTTCTTTTCAACTCCTTCGTCGCCTTCCTCTCCTTCGCATTCCCCAGAACAAGAATTTCCATCTATATTTTCTATCTATATCCCTTTCACCTGATCTCTAAATCCCTTCTTTTCACTCTTCTTTTTCACTCCTTTTCGTCGCCTCCCTCTCCTTCGCATCCCCAGAACAAAGCATTTTCCATTCTATATTTGTATCTTATATCCACTTCACCTGTCTCTAAATTCCTTCTTTTCACTCTTCTTTTCACTGCTTCGTCGCCTCCCTCTCCCTCGCATCCCCAGAACAAGCATTTCCATCTATAGTTCTATCTCATATCCACTTCATCTGTCTCTAAATTCCTTCTTTTCACTCCTTCGTCGCCTTCCTCTCCGTTCGCATCCCCAGAACAAGCATTTCCATCTATATTTCTTCTATATCCACGTTCACTTGTTCTCTAAATTCCTTCTTTTCACTCTTCTTTTCACTCTTCGTCGCCTCTCTCCCTCGCATCCCAGAACAAGTCATTTCCATCTATATTTCTACCAATCCCACTTCAACCTGTCTCTAAATTCTTCTTTTCACTCTTCCTTTTCACTCCTTCGTCGCCTTCCTCTCCTTTCGCATCCCAAGAAACAAGCATTTTCCATCTACTATTTCGTATCTATATCACTCGTCACCGTCTCTAAATTCCTTCTTTTCACTCCTTCGTCGCCTCTCCCTCGCATCCCCAGAACAAGCATTTTCCATCTATATTTCTATCTATATCCTCTTTCACCTGTCTCTAAATTCCTCTTTCACTCTTTTCTTTTTCACTCCTTCGTGTCGCCCCCTCCCTCTTCCCTCGCATCCCCAGAACAAGCATTTCTATCTACGATTTCTATCTATATCCACTTCACCTGTTCTCTAAATTCCTTCTTTTCCTCCTTCGTCGCTCCTCTCCCTCGCATCCCAGGAACAAGCATTTCCATATATATTTCTATCCATATCCACTTCACCTGTCTCTAAATCCCTTCTTGGTCACTCTTCTTTTCATCCCTTCATCGGCCTCCCTCTCCCTCGTCAGGTGCGGGTGGCCCTATGGCCCCAGTGCAGACACCGCGGCTACCACCCCTCGATTGCACCGCTGTTACCAGGCCGCCAAGTACAAGCCCCCGGGGGGGGGGGGACCTTTCCAAAAAAAAGGGGGAAAAAAAAATAAAACTTTTCGGGACGACCAGTTCATGTACGAGTCTATGCTGCCTCTGAGGTACGTGGTTTGGGTTCAGGAATTGATAGGAATTTGTTCAGGAATGTAGAATTTGGTTTGTTTTTGTTTATTGTGTCGTAGCGTTGTAGGGTTTATGGCGAGAGATGTATTGTGTTATATTTAGAATTAAATTGTATAAAGAATTATAGAAAGGAATGTATGGTGTTATATCGAGAATTAAATTATGTAAAGAATCATAGCAAGAACTATATAGTGTTATATCGAGAATTAAATTCTGTTAAAGAATTATATCAAGAACTAGTATAGTTAGTGTATATCGAGAAATTATTATGTAAGAATCATAGCAAGAACTGATTATTAGTGTGTATACGAGAATTAAATTATGTAAAGAATTATATCAAGAACTGTATCGTGTTATGTCGTGAATCAGACTATACGAAAAATTATATCAAGAATGTAATCATATTGAATCAAGAATCCATATCATATATCAACAATTATACGATATTGTATCCACAATTAGATCAAATACCAAAAATGGAATAATCATATCAAGAATTGTATCATACATCAAGAACTGAATCATTAGATTTAAAAAATGCCAATAAGAAAAAGAAAATAAATAAATATCCAAAATAAGAAAATAAGAAAAAAGAAAAATAAATAAATTCAAACTAGAAAATAAGAAAAGAGAAAATAAATAATATCCACTATAAAGAAATAAGAAAAATAAAAAAAATAAATTATCCAAGAATAAGAAAAAAAACAGAAAAAAGAATAACAAATAAAAATCCAAAATCAAACATTAACACACCTTCTCTCTCCTTCCCCCCCTTCCCCCGACCCTCCAAAAAAAGGGTGCTTCTTCCTCCAAAATTTCGAGAAGGACAAATGGGAGACCTTGATGGCGATGGAGGCCCACAATGACCTGAGACGCGGCACCGAACTGTGGGAGAGGGAAACAGGTAAGGCAGGGAGGGGAGGGGAGGGAGGTGGAGGTTAGGGTAGAGTAGAGTAGAGTAGAGTAGAGTGGGTAGGCTAGGTAGAACAGAATTTTATTATAGTCACAATCATCCAATTTTGTTTAAACACCAACATATGAATTAAAAGAAAAATTAAACGATTAGACAATTAAGAATCAAATAATCAAATCAAGAACTAAATCTAAAATCAAATCGAATTTATCAAATCCAGATTAAATTGAATAACAAATCAAAGTTGATTTAAAGTCACTAATCATCCAATCTTTCTCAACATCTAAATTGAAAAGAAAAAAATAAACGATTAGATAACTAACAATTAAATGATCAAATCAAGAACTAATCTAAATCCAAAATCAAATCGAATTCATCAAATCCAGATTAGATTAAATAACCAATCCAAGTCACTAATCATTCAGTATTTAACAGACCATCTAAATTAAAAGAAAAATTAAACGATTAGACAGTTAACAATCAAATAATCAAATCAAGAACTAAATCTAAATCTTAACAGACCAACATCTAAATTAAAAGAAAAATCAAACGACTAGACAATTAACAATCAACAAATAGATTTAAATCCACTAACCATCCAATCTTTCGTAACAAACTGAATCCATCTCAACAAATCACTGATCCAATCCATCACTCTAAATCAAAAGTTGAATTGACAGAATCCATCAACTCTAAATCAAATTAAATGACTCAGATCCAAATCCATCAACTCTAAATCAAATTAAATGACTCAGATCCAAATCCACAACTCTAAATCCAAATTGAATGACTCAATCCAAATCCATCAAAACTCTAAAAAATTAAATGACTCAAATCCAAACCATCAACCTTCAAATCAAATTGAGATGTACTTCAGATCCGAAATCCATCACTCTAATCAAATTAAGATGACTCAATATCCAAAATCCATCAACCTTCTAAATTCAAATTTTGAATGGACTCCAATCCAAATCCATCAACTCTAAATCAAATTGAATGACTCAGATCAAATCCATCAACTCCCTAAATCAAATTTATTAATGACTCAGCATCCAACCATCAATAGCTCTAAATCAAATTGACATGACTCAGATCCAAATCCATCAACTCTAAATCAAATTAAATATGACTCAAATTCCAAATCCATCAATTCTCTAAATCAAATTTAAATGACTCAAATCCAAAATCCATCAACTCTAAATCAAATTGAATGACTCAGATCCAAATCCATCAACTCTAAATCAAATTAAATGACTCAAATACAAATACAATCAACTCTAAATCAAATTAAATGATCAAATCCAAATCCATCAAACTCTAAATCAAATTATTAAAATGACTCAAATCCAAATCCATCAACTCTAAATCAAATTAAATGACTCAGATCCAAATCCATCAACTCTAAATCAAATTGAATGACTTCAGATCCAATCCATCCAACTCTAAATCAAATTGAATGACTCAATCCCAAACCATCAACTCTAAACAAATTAAATGACTCAAAATGTCCAATCCAATCAACCTCTAAATCCAAATTAAATGACTCAAAATTACAAATACATCAACCCCTAAATCCAAAAATAAATGAGCTCCATATCCAAATCCATCAACTCTAAATCAAATTTGAATGACTCAAATCCAAGAGGTCATCAAACTCCTAAATCAAATTTTAATGACTCAAGATATCCTAATCCACATAACTCTAAATCCAAATTTTAAATGACTCCAAAATTTCCAAGTTCCATCAACTCTTAAATCAAATTAAATACTCCAGATCCAAATCCATTTCAACTCCTAAATCAAAATTATAAATGACTTCGATTCCAAATTTCTATCAACTCAAATCAAAATATTTTAAATACAGATCCAAATTATTTTTTAAAGCCCACTAATCAACCCAATCTTTGTTCTCATACACAATTGATGTGTTTTTTAAAAGCGGCGGTAATCACCCAATCTTTCTCAACAGACCAACCGGTCGTTCGGACTTCATCCGCAACAAAATCAAGGTGGACGTCGAACGTAGGACACCCTCCCAACACCATCACGGCAATTCCTGCACGGAACGTCACTCCCAGACTGCCCGAGGTCAGAGCAGTAACATTACCCGGTGATGCGCCCCAGGTGAGGGGGGGTTCTGCCCTTTGGTCTTTCTTTTCCTTTCTTTCGTTCTCTCCCCCCCCTCCCTTCCTCCCTCGCTCCCCTTCCTCTCTCTCTCTCTTCTCTCCTCTCTGACTCTTTTTTCTCTCTCGTTTTCTCTCCTCCTCCTCTCTTCTTTTCTCTCTCTCTCTCTCTCTCTCTCTCCCTTGCTCTCTCTCTCTCGCTCTCCTCTCTCTCTCTCTCCTCTCTTCTCTCTCTCTCTGCTCTCCTCTCCTCCTCCTCATCCCTAGTACAGCCCTCCCTCTTCCCTCCGTCTCGCGTACCGGTACTCCTATTATTCCCCTCTCTCTCCCCCTCTCTTCTCTCCCCCTCTCTCCCTCTCTCGAAGCGGCTCCCACTTTTATCAGCAAACGACTTCAGTATCGCCCTCTCTCTCTCTTGCTTCTTTACTCCTGCGCAGCCTTGGAACCAAAATTCCACTACAAAACGATCTTTCATGTATTCTACGCCGCAACCTATGCCGCGCGACTAGATCCTCTGTCTAACCTCTCCCTCCTGCCCACTTCATACCGAGCTCTATACTGGTTACTCTCGGAAGCTAGATTCAACCGTCCAGGGCGTTCCCGCCACAATGATACCATGCGGGCCGCCTCCTCTCAAAATGTTCTATCAAACCGGTCAGATACCTGTCTTTATGGGAACCGCTAGGCCGAACACTCCTTGTGTCTTCTCGCGGACCGTCCCTCGACCTCTAGGACCGTCGATCGCCCTTTCTGCCTCATGTCTCCTCCTCTCTCCCTTACCACGCCGACCGTGCATTCGCCGCTGGTACCGTTTTGCCCTCCAGTGTGTCTTGCCGTCCCAAACAGGCCCCTCATCTCCTCTTCCTCTCTCATCTTTCCCTCTCTCTTCCTCACCTCTTCGCGTCCTTCGCCGCGTCCTTCTTCATGTTCGTTGACCTCTTCTCTCCGACCCTTTTTTTTGTCTGGGCTGCTTTGCAATCTTGCTTTTAAACCTTCGTATGAGCTAATCGAAGGCTCTCCGAACACGCCTCGCTACCCCCCTATTTCTCCCCCTGCCCGCTCTTGTATCCTACCACTCCTCTCCTTCACCCTCTGCGCCGCTCCTTCCCCACGCTGTCCTTACCTCTCTCTACTGGTCGCTCTTACTCCACACACGCCTTCCCTTATTTCATTCGAATCTCGGCCGTTAGCCCCGCTTCTCTCCTTCTCTGTCTCCTTTTTACCATCTTCTTCACCTCTTCGTACCTCCCCTTCCCCCTCTCCTCTCCGTCCTGCGTCCCTCTTGCCCTCTCTCTCTCCGCTCCCTTCTTTCCCTCACTTTCCTCTACTTCATCGTGCTTCTTTTCGGAAGCCCTTTTCTTTTCGCACCATCTTCTGTTTTCGAGTTGTCTTCTCTTTCCAAGCCTTGCTTTCCTCTCGTGTCTCTCTGCATACCTCTCCCTCTCTACTCTCTCTCGCTCTCCTCCTCCTCCCATCCCCTTTTATTAGTTTTCTCCCAACCTTCTCTTCCCCCCGCTTTCTGCTCGCTCCTGCACTCCCCTCTAGCCCTCGCCCTCCCCCTACCCCTCTATTCTATACCCTCACCGCCCTCCTCGCTCTCCTCACCCCTGAGTCCTTATCCTAGCTTTTTCAATTTGCTCCCCCACACACGATCGTCACCTCCTCTCTTCTCCCATCTCCTCATTCGTCTCCATCCCTTATCTCCTCTCCTCTCCTCCTCCTCTCTCTCTCTCCCTCTACGCCCCCCTGTCTCAGATCTTGCCTCGAGATTTTCTCTCCTCTCTTCCTCTCTCTCCTTTCTGTCCTTCTCTCTCTCTCCTCTTCCTTCTCTTTCCTCCCTCCTCCCCCTCCTTCCCTCTCTCTTCTTCTCTCTCTCTCTCTCTCTCTCTCTCTCTCTCTCTCTCTCTCTCTCTCTCTCTCTCTCTCTCTCTCTCTCTCTCTCTCTCTCCCTCCTCTTCTCTCTCTATTTTTTTCTCTCTATATCCCTCCGTCTCTCTCTCTCTTCTCTCTCTCTCTCTCTCTCTCTCCTCTCTCTCTCTCTCTCTCTCTCTCTCTCTCTCTCTCTCTCTCTCTCTCTCTCTCTCTCTCTCTCTCTCTCTCTCTCTCTCCTCTCTCTCTCTCTGCTCTCTCTCTCTCTCTCTCTCTCTCTCTCTCTCTCTCTCTCTCTCTCTCTCTCTCTCTCTTCTCTCTCTCTCTCTCTCTCTCTCTC